GAAAGTTTGAGAACAGAAGGGTAAAATACTACATGTTCAGCCATCATTCAGTCTATGTTATTTGGAAATAACTAAGACACAGTTTATTAACTGTCATGAAGAATAACTTTCATAATTTCCACGACAATTAAGAGAAATGATTTCCAAAGATAGGCATTTTTTAAACATGATTATGCTTAAAAAAAAGTTAAAATTCTCAAGCCTACTTACTATTCTTAAAACACTGCCAACTACAGCCAGTTTTATTTTATGTACCTGATCAAGCGGAGCCAAAATACTTGGAACATAACATGCATGAAAATCAATTACAATATCAGATTCCATTTGTCAGTATATGATAACAGCATGTCATAAAAAATCCTAGTACATACAGTATATATGAAGAAATTGAGACTGTGTCCACTATCAAAAAATTAAAATGAAAATTTTTACTGAACAATAAGAATGATGAAAGACCTAATGATCTTTTCTACGGTTTTCACTTAGTTCATTTGATTCTAAGAAATGTTAAGATGCACATAGCACTAATTTATTACTATTTTCTTGTGACAAGAAAATGAACTACACATTGTCACCATAGATTAAAAATAAAAAGAAATGTCATGGACATGAACTTTCAAGGCTGCATCATAGTCCTGTTCAAATAAGAGCAGTTACTGTTCTTCAAATGAGCCTGAACTTCCCCCCATTTCTCCAAAGCACCTTTGTTCATGCTGTTCTCTTATTAGCATGTCCTTCCCTGTTTGATGCACAAAAAATAAAATATTCTTGACTTTTTTTTCAACTAGTCTGCTTTACTGCCAGGTAGTTGGGAAACGCTGAAACAAGTTGCCAAGGAGACTGTAAGAACTCTTACTGCGAAGGGCTCAAATACAAGTTATTTTGATATATATGAAGGTTAGATATGACCCTGACTGAAGATGGGAAGACAGACTACAAAGTCTCTCTCAGTTCTATCTTCGGATTCATGAGAACAGCAAACACGCAAGTACATATTCACCCATCCCTGCCTCCTAAAGTGAGATGTCACTCTGCGGGTTAAGGGAAGGCACCATCTGCTAATACGAGTACTACATTCAACTAAAATACAAAACCATGGAGAATTAACACATGCTTTTAAAAACTACAGCAGTGACAGCCAGTCAAACAGAATTTCCTTAACCATTTTCCTTTTGGCAGCATGTAGTCACTCCTTTGAAACAGATACTGATAGTTGGATTCTGTGAACATAATCAAGTGGTGATATACTACAGTGTGATTATTATGATACGCTTAATGACTATCCTGGTGGTAGTTAACATCTGCCACCAAAATGGCACATTGTTAGGTCATTGTTGTCCCACAAAGATGCTTCTAATTATGGATGCTTACTAGAGGAATAATACGCAAAGAGGTCCTGATGGAGAATTACAGTTTCTGTACAAAGGTAGATCTAAAACTCAAGTGCAAAGTTATCTGTGAATTTGGGCATAAAAACTTCTTTCTGTAGTACTTCAAAAATTATTATGGGGTTTCTGTAAAATAATGATAGCAAGCTACCTCCTAATCCAGCGGTCAACATTCACTGTAAAGAGCCAGACAGTAATACTTCTGGCTTTTGGGGGCTACATGTGGTCTCTAGCACAGATTCTTCTTCTTTATGAGGCTGACTTGCCTTTTAAAATACCTTTCAAAAAAAAAAATAAATAAATAAAATAAAATAAAATACGTTTCAAAGGCCGGGCGCGGTGGTTCAAGCCTGTAATCCCAGCACTTTGGGAGGCCGAGGCGGGTGGATCACGAGGTCAAGAGATCGAGACCATCCTGGTCAAC